GATCGAACCCAGGGCCATGTGCATGGTAGGCGAGCGTCCTAACCGCTATACCACACAACCACCCTATTGTGTGGTTGTGTGTTAATGCATGCAGTGCAATAGCTGAACTTTTTTCGAAATTACTTATCTTCTCAGGGTCAATTATTCTTACCTTAGCTAAGTTCTTATGTTCTGATAATCTGACTACCCCTGGCGTACTAGTCTGACCTATTTAGTTGACCTCACAGTCATTACAGGGTATTTTGTAAATTACATTGTTTTGTTTAATAATATTCCTACTATTCTTTTGGCTTCCAAGTGGAGCATAGTGCTTCAACAAAACATTTCCGTTTCATTTTGTTCCCTGCAGTACTCAGGATCTGACTTCAAAAATGCTTAAAGTCTTTCTTCTCCTCTTTCCAATGATCTCCCCCTTATTAACATCGAACCCATAATCCATGTCGTTGTTTCTCATTCCGGGTTCCAGCCGAGGAACGGCATATCGCGTGATGTCACTCAATAGTATCTGCAACATGTGTTCAATCCATCTGCATTTGTTACTTCATTTTTGTTGAGCAATAGATTCTTGATTTTTTCGTTGTAAGAATTCTTCGTTGCTAATCGTTTCTGACCATCTGATCTAGACCTCGTCCAGTTTACTAGCCAGCCCTTAGCCCAGATAAAAAGGGGAAGTTCCGTGTGGGGCTAGCAACTCTACCCTGTAAGATCAGTCCAGTCGCCACAGAAAATTCAGAGCTAGTTTTGGAGAGACAAAGTTACGTGGGTGGACGAAGCCGGTCAACAAAAGTGTTTTCTTGCGATGATTGCCAAAATAGGCAGATTTTTCCTTAAAGCTACAGTCAACACAGTAACTCAGTCTCTGTGCTAATTAACTGCAGTAGTGTAATGTAGGACAGTACAGGGTGGTGACATAAACTGCAGAGTCACAAACTAGCAGTCGAAAAATATTTTATCGAGTGTGTTCATTTCCAGGAATTTGATTAATTTCACGTTAGATCATAAGCTGCCTTTAGTTACAGAATCAATGAAAACCAAAGAAAAGCGGTTATCTCTTCATCCCATACTAGGGCATCACCCACCCACAACCCCACCAGGGATCGAAACTGTGACCTTTACATTGCAAAGCTGGTTACCAGCTGGTTGGTCATTTACCCCCAGAGACGTAATCTAGTGTCGCATGGATTTGTGGACATATATTCACTTATGGCAATGTCCGGTGAGTTAACACATGTAGAGGATTGGCAGAAGTTAGAATTCACTGGCCTGTCATTGTATTCCATCCTAAAGGTTGAATAGTCGAAAAGCTCAACTTATAACCTTAAGGTCTTAAGTTCAGTCCAGTGCGAGTGGAGTAATGGCTAAGCACTACTCAATATTTTCAGAGAGGACGAAATAGAGGTCGAATTCTAAATGAAATGAGTTCGTCATCAAACCTGCGAGGTTCAGCTTACAACCTCACAGATCTTTGTTTATATATTCCAGAGGGTTTTCGATAACAATGTAAAAATATCCTAAGCACATGTTAATTTTTGCATTGTTCACAATAGTTATTCAACTGATCGCATTTTTATGGACTTAAATCTTGCGATTTCAAGAATAAAAATCAATAAATTAGTGTTAATGTAATAATTCAGTTAAAATACTGTCTTTCTCAGAGGCCACAGTATAATTACACAATTTTCTGAAATCTAGTTCCATCTGAAGAGGATTTACAACTGACCATCTTGTATAAACTTAACATTTCTTTGGTAGATTTCCTCTGATTCATTTATTCCTTCTTATTTCCTCAGTTCAGATCTGTGTGAGGAAAACTTTGCGATATTCACGGAAGAAATTCCAAACCTTCACCATTCTACTGATTCTGTGCAAAAGATGTTTGACAGTGATTGGGCTATAAGGGATTAGACAGCCGATGCGTACTAGAAATCAGATAATCCACGGTATACATCCACCTGTCTATACACGAATAAACCTGAAGACTTTAAGTCACAAGTTCAAAAAGTGGTTATTCAGTTACTTGTCAAGAATCATCTAGCCAACTAACAAGACAGGAAAACTAATAGCTGGCATCTTTTTAACATAGTCATTCACAATATCGCTTAAATCATTTGAGAATTTATAGCTTTTTCATAAAAACCTCGACAGATAAAACCTTCGAAAAGTCAATAATCACCGTTATCTTACGACTACCCAGTCACTATGCTAAATTTCATCTTGTAAAATTAAAATACTTCTTTCTCCTTTCATTCCTTTGTATTCTGATTGGATAAAAGGGCCTAAAGGTTGATCTTTGAAGTTTCAATGATAGAGCGGTGGTTTTACTGCGTGCAGTTACTAACCTCCTAATCATATCATCTTTATATGATTATGAGCAATAAATTGTGCTCGAAACGTCATCAGCAAATATTACTGTATAAGACTGTGAGACTTTATCAAAATAAGATTTTATCCATAATGGAATTATACTCTACCATAGTGCACAAGTTTTATTCTCATATTAGTTAGAAAAGCAAAACAGTATACGTTCCTGCTTAGTGGTTAAATGATTACTTTTTGCTTTACAAGCTTGATAGTTCTGAAGTGTTACAAAATACCTGTCCCCATTACATATTAGTAACTACCAAATGGCCTTATTATCTTGAGGATTCAGGTCAGATGAAACAAATTGTTTACAGTGATGAATACACCGGATTGAATTAACTTGTTTCCATAGCTCTAAAACAATTCTTCTTCAGAAAAGATTCTATAGACAAAAATCACTTCATGCTATTTGTAGTAATGGTTGCAAGTTTTAAAATACGGAAGCGTCAGACAGCATGTAAATATATGTATTCATATATCATAATTCAGTACTAATTATTAATAAAAGTTGAATCAAGAGCATTTTGAGATATTTCAAAAACTTCGTAAGTCTAAGTTTAGTGAACAAAGAATATTCTTCTCGGTAATACATGTGTAAAACTTGGGCACTGTGGTAGTAAGTAATTCCATATTAGTTTGTTTATTAGATGTATCACACAGTGAAACAGTATTGTATACTGGATGACGTTTCGAACAAAATCTATTGTTCATAATCATATCAATTGTGATCACACGACTTCGAAACTTCAGTTTTATAGTTTTCTTTGTCTTCTCCTATTTTTCGTAGGGGTAGTAGAACTTTCCAGATGTCAGGGACAAGTGATGAATCATTTCTATTACATGTATTTGCAGTTGATTCGATAAATAAAGCTTCTGTTATCAATCTCTCCCTATACCCTGTGACATTAGATTTTAAAACTGTCATCCTATCCCATCCAGCCTATTGTATGGTTGTGTGTAACTGCATGTAATAAGTGGTATAGCTGAACTATTCTCTAGATTTCTTATCTTATTTGGGTCAACCAATCTGGATTTCGCTAAGTTTTATGTTCGGCTAGTCTGACTGCTCCTGTTCTACTAGTTTGACCTATGTATTTGACCTAACAATCATTGCAGTCAGGGTATCAGATAAACTCAATTGTTTTGTTTTAAAGGCTCCACAGGATCCTTTAACCGACAAAGCTTGTTTCTAATTGAGTTTGTGGTTGGTTTGAATGCCAGCCACTTTTATTCCTGCCTTGTTAAGAATTCTGCGTAAGGTGGTTTCGGAGGTTCCTTCCTTGTATGGAATAACTGTTGATGATTTGGATTCCTTATTGTTGGTGTCGTCATTAATATTATTATTACCACTATTATTATTACCATTATTATTATTATCATTATTATCATCACTATTATTATTATCACTATCGCTATTATCATTATTTATTTTATTTTTACATTTACTTACATATTTCTTATAATTTCTTATAATAATAACAACAATAATAATAATGATAGCACTAATAATGGTAATAATAATAAATAGAAGACAAAGAAAACTATTAAACTCAAATTTCAAAGTCGTGTGATCACAATTGATATGATTATGAACAATAAATTTTGTTAGAAACGTCATCCAGTAAATTATACTGTGTCACTGTGTGACACATCTAATAAAAAAAACTAATGTGGAATTCTTCTCGGTAACCTCATCATTAGGTTCTACAGCCACATGTCCTTAATAGTTAAAGAATTCTAGTTGTTATTGCCAACGTAATAAATACGATCAACAGGCCACAGTTCAAAAGCTTCTGTATGTGATAATATGCACAAATACAACACAAGACTGAAAATCAGATAAATTAGGAAAAATAATGTAAGATTTATAATTTCTGTAAGAGGCCACGATAACAACAGTAGCAGTGATGATTTCTTTTGTACACAGGGCTCCGGTAGTTTGAAACTCAATGCATCTGCCTCTGCTGTTCGTAGTGTTCGGTTTCTAGAGTCCCTCCGGCAATTTATTCGTTAGCTGATAGATAATAGAGAAAGACCCATCAATACTACCTTTTTGGCTTGTTAACACGAGGTGATCTAATAAAGATGTGTTGATTTTTTCAACAACACTTTTATTTAGTCACACTGGTAACTGCTACCAAGCACGACAAATTAAATTTACTAATGTGCAATGGCGAATATAACTGCCTTCTTATGACGATCAAATAAAATGACGTATACAAAAACGAGTTAGCGAAAAGAATACATTTTTGTTCAATTATAAGTCATTTATTATTTCAAAAAAGTTAAAACATTGGCAACCACTTTATCATCTCATGGAGGACTTCATCATGAGCTAAAATCATTTACAGAACCACTGGAAAACCTGGAAGAACTTGACAGCCGTTTCGTCCTAGTTTTGGACTCTTCGCCAGTAGGCACCCACCAGGGTTCGAACCCTGGACCTTCTGGTTACAAGGCAACCTTGTGGACCATTGAGCCACTGGGACCCACTTAAGAAATAAATCATTGGTCGACTTCTAATTTTCTTATTTCTGATTGGTCAAATTTGCACAAATATTATTTGTTGTTACGTCGACAAATTTGATTGGTTAATTTCGCATTACATATATACATACAATTTTATTTATCAAGACGAAGGAAAAATCAACTGAAAATGGAGAGAATATTTTATAGTTAATTGAAAAATACTTCCATAAATAAATAAAGCAGATTTGGCAGTATTCATAAAGTTTTTTTCGAAAAGGAAGTATTTTTGCTCAAAAAAATCTAAACAAAATATTTTTTCAAACATAAGGGAATATACTCATCGATGTAGGTAAAGAGAAATATATGAATAATTTATTTTCAAAACACTCTGGTTATTACCCTAAATATTAACAAAAGAGGAAGAAACAAACGAATAAATGGATAAATTAGCCACTTTTTCATTGATTTATCGATTTATTTACTCCTTTATTCACTTCAGTGCGTTGAAATCATCTACCGGAAATACAGTGAATTGCCTCAATAATTGATTGATTGGTCATTTGTTTATCCTCACATCAAATCTAGAAAGAGATAGACAATATTTACGGTGGAGAATAATTTGATTTTCGAAAGTGTTATCACAGAACAATCTTATTATGAATGGAATTATAATTCATCGATTAGTCAGAAGTATTGAGGATAATAATATTGATCAGTCTAATGCTACTAAAAACCAATGGTTATGTGAACAAATATATGAAGGCAGTAAGTTGATTCATGCTACTTTTTAATGATATTCATTTCTTTTATCTCTCTTTTGTTAATTTATATGATGACAAAATATCATATGGTAAGATGTTGTACAGCCTTATCAAGCAATTATTGTTGAAATTATACCTGAGAAATTGGGAATTTGATCTGACGTATCACCAGTCTGCCTAAGTAGTTAGCCATTTGTAGTTTGGATAGTTTGAGCTGATTCACCCCAGACTGTCGATTCCAGTCGAGTACACAGCTGATGAGCTTAGCTTCAAACGTCCAAAATGACCATCGTATGTTTGGATCACTTCAATAATCTGCCTAGCAGATATCACTAGTCACTGTGAGTGATATGCACTTACTTATCTCAGTCATTCAGTAGTATTTAGTCTCATTCATCTATGACTACCTCTTTGATAATCACTTATGGTATCATCTAGATCACATATTATGATGACTTGAATAATATCGGTCTCTCTGAGAAATTGTGGTTAAAAGTTTTAGGTCGAACTGTGTAAATTGCCAAATTGTGAAATAATTCGCAAAATGAGTTTAATTTCCTTATTTGGCATTTATACTACTCATATGTATTTATTTTATACGTATTTTCAAAGTTTAAGAAACTGAACAAGACATGATAACTCGAAAATATATATATATCACATTTTGATCGGACACTGAACAACAGTTCAGAGTGTACTCGGAAGGTGAGCAACCTAACGTGGTAATCACTTTCCAGACTTACCAATAACAAAACTTATTATTGTGTGTAAGCCATTCAAATGCATGTTTACTTTATTTAACTTACAGAATTCTGTCTATAACAACACCATGGACTAGACGCATGACATCAGTTGCTATCTAGTGTCCAATCAAAGAATCTATTACAGTCCTACAAGAGATCAGTCGAGATCTCAAGCAGATTAGTAGTGACATCTCTGACTGTACCAATGGGTCACACTGATGGTAATCTTAGGAGGGGCATCAGTCCCTTCGAAACTCTATATATGCCTTGCGAACTGTTGAGTGTCAACAGTCACGAAACCTCTAAGTTCGAGAATCCCTGTCAATCTCCCTTAACCACTTAACAACAATATACTGATAATTTTGGAAATTTAATGACAATAGGCTAACTCTTCACTTCGTACGATATATCAGCATATTAAATTTTACATCTAGCAGCTCAAATAAACAAATGAAAACACATTCTTGTCTGTTCGGCTTTTGTCAAAGTGCCTTTGAAACCTGCAAAAAAAATTACATTACTCGAATGACAGTTCTGCACTTACATCAAGACATTTACATAACTTTATTACATTTTTCTAATACTCCTTGAAGAAGGCCTGAATTAGTTTTAACTGTGACAGTGACTGCACAGCTGTGTCGTCCTACTTTCGAATTCTTCTTCGGTACTTACCCACTGAGATTCGAACCCAGAACCTTTGGTTTCCAAAGCAAGCTTGTAGACCATTCAGAGGTTAGGAAGCAATCTTAAGTAACCACAACTTATGGGGAGTTCGAAACTAGGACGAAACAGGTGTCTAGTACTTCCTGAATACTTTGTTTCAATTTTCGACTTATACAGCCGAAACCAATCAGTATTGTGTCATCTAATGAAGTAACCTTGCATAAAATTCAGGCAAGTAAAAGATAGAAAACGATAAACGAAAAACCTTTCCCTATACGAACAAAAAACTGCTTATTTAAATTGGAACATATTTTTCAAAATAGCTACTAAATCAATCAAATCATGCTGTGGGCGAGGAGAGATAGTAAGGGGTGGAGGAAAACAGTTCAGTTATGACAAAGTTTTATTTCTGTGCCTGCTACAACAGGCACATGATGCTTAATAATGTGGTTATCCTTATTATTGCTATTAGCAATTTCGTAATTGTCGTTGTGTTTGTTATCAGGCCGACCAGATAGCAAAATTCTGTAGACCAGTAGTACTCTGTACTGTCATATACGTTTACCTTTAAATGCCTGTTATTATCATTATTATTGTGATTACTACCTGAATTGCATTTGTATACATGGAAGGTCTCGTCATAAATGGGTGAACAGCCACGTGGTCTCTCTGTCTTTCTGTACACGAAGTTTTAATAACGATCTCAGTATTTACAATACACTAAGTTATCTCACTTCTCTTCCCAAATAAACAGTTGCCATGAAGTGTAAGTATATTGTAGTGACTAAACTTCAGTCTATGATGAAGTCAGTTATCCGCCATCAGCGAATATCATGTGACTTACAGTAAATGCTTATGAATATTCACTTGTGAATATAAGCACTGAAATCGGTGTGGAAACCTATTGCACTGAGTAGAAGGAAGAAAGTTCGGATTTTCAAAACTAATGCAAAGTCATTCATTGATTTTGTGTGGTTCATAGACTTGCCACACGCTGCACCAGTAGCATTTTCAACAGGCCACTGCGAACCACCATCATCAGTTGACCCTTTCGTTCCATACTAAAAATCACATGACAGGTCAGAAAGGTTAACCTACTAGGAATTCTGGCAGACAATGAATACAAACAAGAATCTATGGTCCAACAAATATGCTGGAGGAAACTGAGATGGAGTGGAAATATGTTGAGGAGCATGGTGAGAGACATCAAGTGCCAGAAAGACACTCAAGTAGAATCCTAACAGAAATTGACACGGAAGAGATCACGTGGGGACGAGATGAAGGCTTATGAGTACTAGTGGTGCTATCTAAGAAGGACTGTAGAGAGCAGGATGAAATGGATGTGTGCTGCTGAAGCCCTATGTTCTGCATGAAACTTAGGTGAACAGCAATATTAAGTAATAATCAGAATATCTAGATTAATTATTAAAGAGGTAAAAGAGAGGAGCTAGGAGTAAGGGAAGACCACATATAATCTCAAACTAAGTATACTTTACAATTTATCAGAGAGATTTATACAGACGGCAGAATTGGCACCACAAATGCACCGTGAAAAATCTAGATGGTTGAGTATCCTTTTTGCATTTTTGTCAGTATTCAATCTGAAACTTTAAAAATAGATACAACAACAGGGCCTAATGTGGGACTCATTCTTATTGCAAACAAAAGGCTTTAGTGAACATAAAGCATTATAACTTATCGTTCATATAATTTTAAGAATAAGAAAACATGGACTGCTATGAAAAATGACTGAATACCCTTGAAGTAAGTAAAGCTGATGGTTGTATTTCGCTTTGACTACCACCACTTCCTGCCAAAATGAAAAACATTTACTAGACGATTTTTACGCAGACAAAAATGACATAATCAGATACTGTTTTTACTCAACGTGTAGTGTGATCCACCTGTCTTTTAGTGTACTAATGTTAAAGCGGTTATAAAGCATACCTAAGGTAAAAGTCTGTCTAACTTAGATATGTGATAGGATTGTGCAAAAGTTTCGAAACCAAGAAAATCTATTATTATTATTCAGAGTACTATTAAAAACTCTCGGCTGTTTTTATTTTGACAATGAGATATAAATAAACTTGCCTTCCAAGAATTTCATATTTCATTGAAAAACAATATCGGAAAGAGATTTTATCAAGCAGAATGAGCTGTATTCGTTAAGGTCTATGTTACAAAGCGCTGATAACTACAAGCTACTTTTGGACGTTTTCAAAATAAGACAAATCTATTTAGGTGTAACCTCTGCTATGTGAAACTCTACAATTCTGTAATCTAACAAGTGATTTTACTGTAGCTACACAAACAAAAGTCTATTATTATTGTTAGTTTCTTGGATCTTGATTCGAACATTGAGGTTAACAGCTTACCATAGTTCCATCATTCATAGCTGGCTTCACGATTGCCTATAAGCTCTCGTCTCATCCGTGTTATCCTCAGACGCGCTATTCGTAGTACTCCATTTGTGTCCAACTCAACAGCCCACCTGGAACGTGATTTTGCTAATTGAGATACTCATAGTAATTTTAACATAACTTTAATCTTTAATTTGTCGGCGTCATGACCTGTTTTTTGCACTCAGTAGTATATTCTATGGAAAAAGTTAGTATTGTTTCGATAAATATCATCAACATAAGGGATAAAGTTATTTAGGTTGTCAGTGACAACCAGTAGAATTCAGGATGTGCTTTTCACCCGAATTAGGGAGCGTCAGCTGGGTGTATCTGCATTTGTAGTGAGTTATGGTGTTCCAGCTGAAACAGGAACAAACACCTGTTGTTTAAAATGCTGGGACATTACCAATGAACAACAATAGCCACCTCTTGTGCAACAGGTATCTTATTATTTTTTCAGACTTGTTTGGATCAACTTTGGTATTTGAAACAATGGGTATTGAGTTACAGGCTAAGTGGGAACACCATCACTCACTGGGGATTCCAGACACGCACAAGTGACGACATCCGAATAGGACGAAATGCGTACCTTTGATCCGACTACTGGTTATTATTATTTGTTTTTATTATTTTTGATTACAGCTTGATTCCACACTGTATTTTTGGTGCAAGTATGGATATCGGTAGCCCAAATTTTGCAGGCCTACCATATATATCAGGTGTGCGTCGGCAGGTTATCGAACCTCGGACGATGTGCATGGTCGGCGAGAGTCCTAACCACTGAACCACCAACGCACCCAGCGCCAAATAAAGTCATTTCGAAGCACAGTCGAAGAGTGAGTTCTAGAAGCTGGCATGTCAACAGAGACAAATTATTTTGGTTTAAAGAAATCAATCAATGTGAAAATGCAAGTTAATTTAGGTAGTAATAACTGTTTCATGTCGCATCTAAATTCAATTATTCTGCAACCATCTATAAATCACTTTAAAGTCCTCAGCCGATATATGGATGCAAATTTCATTACTTCTAATGAAAATGCTGATCTAATTAAAATCCTTGAAGTATTTGATGGTACGCACCATTCGACTTGTCTTACACTGGAAGTTCAGTCATATAGAAGACACTAAATCTTGGATATTCAGCTTCCGGGAATTGATGGATCAATCCAAGGGTGAATTCACCACACACACCACAGTAG